ACTGACCGAACCCAAAGGATGCTCATCAATGGTTCCTCTTCATCCTGGAGAAGAGTGACTAGTGGGGTGCCCCAGGGTTCTGTCTTGGGCCCGGTCTTATTCAACATCTTTATCAATGACTTGGATGATGGACTCAAGGGCATCCTGATCAAATTTGCAGATGACACCAAACTGGGAGGGGTGGCTAACACCCCAAAGGACAGGATCACACTTCAAAACGACCTTGACAGATTAGAGAACTGGGCAAAAACAAACAAGATGAATTTTAACAAGGAGAAATGTAAAGTATTGCACTTGGGCAAAAAAATGAGAGGCACAAATACAAGATGGGGGACACCTGGCTTGAGAGCAGTACATGTGAAAAGGATCTAGGAGTCTTGGTTGACCACAAACTTGACATGAGCCAACAGTGTGACGCAGCAGCTAAAAAAGCCAATGCAATTCTGGGCTGCATCAATAGAAGTATAGCATCTAGATCAAGGGAAGTAATAGTGCCACTGTATTCTGCTCTGGTCAGACCTCACCTGGAGTACTGTGTCCAGTTCTGGGCACCACAGTTCAAGAAGGACACTGACAAACTGGATCGTGTCCAGAGGAGGGCAACCAAAATGGTCAAAGGCCTGGAAACGATGCCTTATGAGGAACGGCTAAGGAGCTGGGCATGTTTAGCCTGGAGAAGAGGAGGTTAAGGGGTGATATGATAGCCATGTTCAAATATATAAAAGGATGTCACATAGAGGAGGGAGAAAGGTTGTTTTCTGCTGCTCCAGAGAAGCGGACACGGAGCAATGGATCCAAACTACAAGAAAGAAGATTCCACCTAAACATTAGGAAGAACTTCCTGACAGTAAGAGCTGTCTCGACAGTGGAATTTGCTGCCAAGGAGTGTGGTGGAGTCTCCTTCTTTGGAGGTCTTTAAGCAGAGGCTTGACAACCATATGTCAGGAGTGCTCTGATGGTGTTCCTGCTTGGCAGGGGGTTGGACTCGATGGCCCTTGTGGTCTCTTCCAACTCTATGATTCTAAGATTGTGACCCAGGAAGAGAGAGGAAAATACTGGAAGTAAACCACTGGCTGCGCAAGTGGTGTCATTAGGAAAGGTTTGGTTTCTTGGACCATGGTTCCGCTTGCTTGAGGAAGGACTTCTGGCAAGAGATGGGTTGCACATCACACAGTGTTTGGCAAGAATGTGAGTATATGGGTTAAAATTGTAGGAGAGGGAAACAAATGTGACCTTACAGTGGCTGTCTGCTATAGAGCTCCAAGCCAGACTGAAGACTTGGATGGTGCCTTCCTAGAGCAGATTGCCAAACCTTCAAGAAGGAGAGATCTGGTAGTCATGGGAGACTTCTACTACCCCAATATCTGTTGGAACTTAAACTGCCTGGAATGTAAGGTACAACAAATTCCTCAATTGCCTCTCTGACAATTTCATTTCCTAGAAGGTGAAAGCAGCAACAAGTGGAATCATCTATCTTGGACTTGGTCCTCGCCAACAGAGAGGAAGTGATCGACGAAGTGGAAATACTGGGAACCTTTAGAGGAAGTGATCATGTCCTCTTGGGTTTCATAATACACAGGGAAGGGAAAGCTGATTGTAGTTGGGCATGCAGTCTGGACTTTAAGAAGGCTGACTTCTCAAAGCTTAATTAACTACTAGGTGAGATTTTATGTTAAGGAATACTTCACCATTGGGGTGAGGACAAAAACAAAGTAAGTATTGAACAGTTCTTCCTTCTCTCTGTCACCCAGTAGCATTTCTCTGTCTTCTCCATGCAGAAGACCTACTGCTTCCTTGTTCTTCCTCTTGCTTCGAACAAAGCTAAAGAAACCTTTTAAAAAATTCTTTTTAACCTCTCTTGCATGCCTGAGCTCATTCTGAGTTTTAGCCTGCCTGAAATTCACCCTGCAGCTGTTGGCTCCTTGTGTATACTCCTCTTTTGTGATTTTCCCTTTCTTAAAATTCTTATACATGCCCTTCTTAAATCTCAGCTCAGCTGTAAGCTCCTTATACTGTCACACTGGTTTCTTCAGATGCCTCACTCATATGTCCAAGTGGTAGGTGCTGTGGGGGGACAGGGACAAAGAGGGACTTTAGAGGGGAGTTTCAGCAGGAGGTGGGAGCAGAGCAAGGGGCAAGTATGAGTCATTATGCTAGGGGCAGGAGATATGGGGAGGAGACCAGGTTTAGGAGGGGAACTCCCTCCTTCCAGGCAGAGAACCAGGGTGTCCATGGTGAGTTTTTGGCCTTCCTGTACATGGTTCAGCAGCCATGCTATGTCCTCTAGTTAAGGTGCAATGCGAGAGTGGGTGGTGGGCCACCTGCTTCTTGATTTGTTGCCACTGCAGCCCTCAGAATTGAGGTTAGCCATTCATTTTGTTCATAGTCAGGAATATGATGCCAGCATTCAAAGCAAGGATACCACACGGAGCTCCTGGGAGTGCTATGAGGTCTGAGGCATGAGAACCAGAAGGTTTTGGAAGAGATTTTGAGGCTGTGCCTCTGCTTACCACCCAAATCCCCATCATCACTGTGTGCTTCTGGGTGGATTCCATCCTGGCAGAGCATGTGGCCATCTGTCTGAGGCACCATACCAAGGATAATGTGGCTTGGAAATGATCGTGTTTGAGGACCATATGGTTGAGATTTTTCTGATGTTCAACCTGGGCAGAGTGGCAGATGAAGAAGAGTGGCAGAAGTAACCACAGGTATGGAGTGTCTTAGGCATCTGGTGTGTGGGTGTGGGTGTGGCCCACCCCAATGGCTGCTGCCTGGAAGAAACATCCCTTCTTGGGGGTGAAGTGGTGGTAAGGAGGAGAAGGCATCTGCTCCACCTGGAGCCAGTGGAAGCAGGCAGCAGTTGTGCAGGGCTGCTTCCCTGGTCACCAGAAATGCACCTGGAGGTGGGTGACAGCATGGGATGTGTTGGCCAAGGACTTCTTAACTCTGAGGCTCAAGTAGCTGTTGCATCTACAGAGACATTGTACGGAATCACCTCATATGAGAGCACTGCCAGGAGCTCACTGGAAGGATTCAAGAGGAATAGAGCAGAGAACAGGCTGCAGAGGCCATGGCCAAGGAAGAGGAAGAGGGCCAAGACCAGCTATAGGAATATGTGCAAAGAACCTTCAAGCACTCAGGAAGGGTGCCCCATGTTTAGAACCTCCATTTATACCACCACTCTCTTTGATGGAAAAAGGAAAAAGAAGTTGAAAGGACCCTGCACCTCGCCTCCAGCTTGGGCTAGCCAGCAGCATGGTGCAGGGTCCATCCCACCTCTCCATTGAGGGCTGTGGGAAGGAGCCTGCACCATGCCACCAGGTAGCAGGAGCTGGCAGCAAGGTGCATCTTTACTCAAGTCTAATGCACCATCGAATCTCATGAGCACCATATTTTTAACAGCCTAATTTGACAAAAAAAAGGTGCACATTAGACTCGAGTACCGTATTTTTCGCTCTATAAGACGCACCAGACCATAAGACGCACCTAGTTTTTGGAGGCGGAAAACAAGAAAAAAAATATTCTGAATCTCAGAAGCCAGAACAACAAGAGGGATCGCTGTGCAGCGAAAGCAGCGATCCCTCTTGCTGTTCTGGCTTTTGGGATAGCTGTGCAGCCTGCATGCTCTCCATAAGACGCACACACATTTCGCCTTACTTTTTAGGAGGGAAAAAGTGAGTCTTATAGAGCAAAAAATACGGTAAATACAGTATATAAAGCAACTCTGTATTACAAAGATGTCTACAAACATGACATGAACACTGGTAACATTAACCCTACCATGTGGGAATCCCTTGAAGACAACCACAGTGCCTGGAGACAGACAGTCAGGTTGTGTATTCACAGCAGTGACCAGAGGAAGAATGATTGCTGGGAGGAGGGCAGAGAGAAAAAATGCCTTGGTGCATCTGGAGCAGTGAAAATGGAAGCTCTCATCTGCCCCAGCTGCAGTAAAACATGTCTCTCCCACGTTGGTCTCTACAGTCACAGCAGGCGCTGTAACTCTCCAATGGATTGACTTTACCCCCAAAGGCACATGCTTCCATTGTCTCCTGAGACATACTGGATGAGGACAACAACGTATAAAGCAGTGCCCAGGCTAATTAAAATCTCCCCCCCCCCCCGCTTGGCTAGAAATGCAAATGGTATTAATATCTCTGGTTAGTGGAGGATTCCATGGCACCCTTTAATTTCTCAATTAAGTTTCCAAAGGGTCTCCTACTGATAAAGGCAATCCTGAGCCAGATCTCATTTGCTGATTTAGATCAGCCCCATTACAAGACTGTTGTTTGTCTAATTAATCCCTAGGGACTCATTCCAAGGGGCTTATTTTAAGATGGTGTAATTTAGATGTATTCATACCCACAGAACGAGAATGCTTAATATCAGTCTGGGTGTGTGTGTGTTTTAAGTGGAATGTGGAGGAGTAGGAGACTCATTGTCCAGGTTCAGTTTGGGACAAATGAATATTAGAACATCAGAACAGCCCTGCTGGATGAGGCCAGTGGCCCCTCTAGTCCAGCATCCTCTTCTCACAGTGGCAAACCAGGTGCCTCAGTGGGAAACCAGCAAGCAGGACCTGAACTCAATAGGTTCCCCCCCACCCCACCCCTGGTTTCCATAAGAACACAGTATGAGGCTGATGGATCAGGGCAATGGCTCATCCAGTCCAGCATCCTGCTCTTAGGGGCCAACCAGATACCCTAATGTCATGGATACTATAGCTGGGATTCCAGTATTGCAGGGGTCAGACTACAGTTCCTTCCAACTCTACAATTCTATTACTCTAGGATAATGGGGAAACAGCAAGCAGGAGAGCTGTTTCTCCCCCTGCAGTTTCCAGTAACTGGTATTCAAAAGCATTGCTGCCTCCAACAATGGAAGCAGAGCGCAGCCATCATGGGTTCATAATGAGTCCACTGTGAATGTGTTTGTATCTATTTTAAATTTATTTGTTTGTTTATTAAATTTCTCTACCATGCTTCATCCAAAGATCACAGGGCGGTTTACAAAATAAAAGCACAAAAAGATATAGCATAATAACAAACAAAAAGCAACACCTCCCTACAGTTTAAAATGACACAGATTGTTTAATTAGCCAAAGGCCTGGGGGGAGAGGAATGTTTTCACTTGGCATCTAAAGAGGTGTAACAAAGGCACCAGGTGAGCTTCTCTGGGGAGAGCATTCCAGAAATGGGGAACCACTTGCAGAAAAGGCCTTTTCTTGTGTTGCCACCTTCCAGGCCTTTTGTGGAGAAAGCACACAAAAAATGGTCTCAGATGATGATCACAGGGTCCAGGTTGTTTCAAAAGGAGGTACTTTAAATTGGGCCCAGAAACTAATTGGCAGCCAATGCAGTTGGGCCAGAATTGGTGTTATATGCTCAAACTGTCTTGTATAATGTGTTGCAGTAATATAACCATTACCAGAGCATAGACAACAGAAGTTAGGCTATCCCTGTCCAGATAGGGGCACAGATGGGCCACCAGCAGAAGCTGATGGAAGGCACTCTAGGCCACTGAGGCCACCTGAGCCTCAAGTGACAGTAATGGTTTCAGAAGTACCCCCAAACAGTGTACCTGCTCCTTCAGAGGGAGTGTAACCCCACCAAGAGGAGGCAACCTCCCACCCATCCATTCTAGGGAAACACCCCCTAACAGTGCCTCTGTATTATCTGGATTAAGGTTCAGTTTGTTGGCTCTCATCGTGTCCATTACCAAGGCAAGAATGTGGTCCAGCACATCAGCTGCTACACCTGCAGATGTAAAGGAGAAATAGATCTGTGTGTCATCAGCATATTGCTGGCAACATACTTCAAACTGTCAGATAATCATAGAATCATAGAATCATAGAGTTGGAAGAGACCACAAGGGCCATCGAGTCCAACCCCCTGCCAAGCAGGAAACACCATCAGAGCACTCCTGACATATGGTTGTCAAGCCTCTGCTTAAAGACCTCCAAAGAAGGAGACTCCACCACACTCCTTGGCAGCAAATTCCACTGTCGAACAGCTCTTACTGTCAGGAAGTTCTTCCTAATGTTTAGGTGGAATCTTCTTTCTTGTAGTTTGGATCCATTGCTCCGTGTCCGCTTCTCTGGAGCAGCAGAAAACAACCTTTCTCCCTCCTCTATATGACATCCTTTTATATATTTGAACATGGCTATCATATCACCCCTTAACCTCCCACTCAGTGGATTTATGTAGATGTTAAACAGAATAAGGGATAAAATCGAAGCCTGAGGAACCCCACATTGAAGCCTCCACAGGGCTGCAGAACACTCCTCAAGCCTCTGGAAATTACCATCCAAGTAGGACCAGAACTACCACAAAGTGGTGCCACCCACCCCTAACTCATACAGCAGCTCCAGAAGGATACCATGGTCGATGGTGTCGAAAGCTGCTGAGAGGTCAAGGAGAATTAATAAGGACACATTTCCCCTGTCTCTATCCTGACAGAAGTCATTATACAGGGTGACCAGAGTGGTTTCTGTGCCAAAATCAGGCCTAAACCACAACTGAAATGGATCTAGAAAATCAGTTTCCTCCAAGAGCACCTGGATCTGGTCTGCAACCCACCACTCAGATACTTTTCCCAAGAAGAGGTGATTGGCAACTGGCTGGTAATTACTTAGATTTTTCTAATCCAGTGAGGGTTTCTGGAGGAGTGGTTTTACCATGGCCTCCTTCAAGCAGGCAGGGACCACCGCCTCTTGCAATCACCTCCCTGGCCCAGTCAGGTATTAGTTTATAACACTGAGCCAATGCAGGTCTCACTGCTTGGCAGGTCACTACCAATAGATCACCCTGAGCCCACGAATGCCCATCAGCTGGCCACCCACCCACCTCCCTGTCTGAACACCTCTGTGAGAGTCCACTGGTACCTGCCATTTTTGATTTTTATCAAAGTGGGCAATCATTCTCTGGATGCTGAGTTTCAGGCATTTACCAATAGTATTATAGGGCATGCATTGAATTGTGAACCCTTGGTCATACCACAGCTGGAGCCTTGTATCCAGTTATGGGGATCCCAGCTTAAGAAGGATATTGACAAGCTGGAAGGTGTGCAGAGGAAGGTGATCAAGATTACGAAGGGCGCTAGAAACTGAGCCTTGTGAGGAACGATTTAGGGAACTGGGCATGTTTAGTCTGGAGAAGAGGACACTGAGAGGTGGTAATAGTCAACTTCAAACATCTAAAGGCTGTCACAAGTAAAATGGAGCAAGCTTCCTTTTTGCTGCTGTAGGATCCGAACCAGTGGATTTAAATGACAAGAAAGGCAATGCCGACTAAAGCTTAGGAAGAACTTTCTGACTCTAAGAGCTGTTTGACAGTGACATGGACTCTCTCAGGAGGTGGTGAAATCTCTTTCCGTGGAGGTTTTTAGGCAGAGGTCAGATGGTCACCTGTCTGGGATTATTTAGCCTTGATTCTTGCATTGCAGGGGACTGGACTAGATGGGGATCCCTCCCAACTCTCTATGATTCTAAGATTCAGCTGTGCCTCCCAGCTACACTCAGGGGATATACCGGTACTTATCAATCATCTGCTGTTGCCCCAAAGGTAGCTTTCCTCCTCTTCTGCCCTTCCTCCTCCTCCCTCCTCCCTCTCCTTTTGAGTGCAAAAGTGAAGTGTAGGAAGAGTCAGAGAGAGAAAGCAGAGACTATTTGGACATTCCACAACTCATATTTTCTAAGAGGGTTTCACAGACACATCCCCAGCCATTATCTCATCTTTGATGTGCTTAGTGTAACGTGAGAGTCAGCGTGAGCTGAGGTCGATGTCAGTTATCTGCAGAGCAGACAAGCTGAGCCGCCGGAGAGGAGATGCAGTTCAGAGGGAGACGGGAGAACAACTGTGCACTCCCCATAGACTATGAAACTTGCAAGGTGCCTTCTCTGCTCTGCAGGATGGCACACAGGACAAAGAATCATAGAACTGTACAGATGGAAGGAACACTCAAGGATAATCTAGTCCAACTCCCCACAGGGCAGGCATCGCAGAATAGACGGCCATCAACCTCTGTTTGAAAACCTCCTATGAATCATAGAACTGTAGAGTTGGAAAGGTCACTAAGGGTTATGTAGTCCAACCTCCTGTAATGCAGGAATCATGACTAAAGTATTCCTGGCAGGTGTACATTCGACCTGTGTTCAAAGACATCCAAACAAGGAAAATCCACCAGTTTCACAGGGAGTATGTCTAACTATCAAGCAACTCTTACCACCAGAAATTCCTTCCTAAGCAGTGGCATGCAGTGAAACTTTTCATAGGGGAACAAGTTAGGGTCAGAGGCACCAGCTTGTGAGGGTGATGGGGGGGGAGCAACATTGTGCCTCCCTCCCTAAGCTGGGCAGATGCTTCCAGGGCTTTGGGAAGGAGGTGCCAGGCTTTAATACTCTAATTTAGCAGGAACATTTAGGGGACTAATCTAGTCCCCCTAGTCCACTGACTGCATGCCACTGTTCCTAAGGTTTAGTTGGAAGCTCCTTTCTCATAATCAGAACCCATCTCCGGCATCCTGCTAAGCTCTGCTTGGTTTCCAGCCCTGTAATCACTTCCAGCCAGGACTTGGCCAAGAAGCCCATTCTGGATGACTTTACCTCTGTTTGACACTACAATTTGAAAGGGGTTGTTGTTTTTTTTGGTGTGGGTTTTTGGGTTTTTTTGCAATCAGAGGAGAGACAGCTCTTGCTCCCACCCCCTTAAAAAAAAAGCAGCTTCAGAAAATCCCAAACACGGCCTGCAATTTGTAATTGCAAACCTAAGAGATTTAGGGTAATTGACATTTTGGATGGATCACCCGGGATCGTATTTAATTTTGAAAAGCAGGTTCCAAGCAGGCAGGGGGAGGGGGAGATTGCCAAGCCAATAACTCTCCTAACGCCTCTCATAACTCATTCTCAAATCCATTCAACGCAGGCTTAAACCTAAATGTTTGCATTTTTGATGTACTAGCACAATATTGCTGGCTCACTGAAACTGTTTGTCAGAGAATATCTCAAACAGACAGCCTTTGAATTAGTGGTGCACCAGATCAAGTTTCATAGTAGTGCAAGATCCAGGGGAAATTTGCTCAGAGCCAAGGAGAAGAGGAGGAGGAGGAGGAGGAGGAGGAGGAGGAGGGGTCCTTCTGTGGTTATGTGCAACTTGAGAAACCTTTTATCAAGACAGATAAAAGGAAGTATGTCTTAAGAACATCAGTGCATTAGAAGAGGCTGCTGGATCAAGCAAATGGCCCATCTAGCACAGCATCCTGTTCTCACAGTGACCACCCAGATGCCTGTGGGAAACCAGCAAGCAGGATTCAAGCACATCAACAACATTTCCCCCTCCAGCAACTGGCATCCAGAAGCATTGCTGGCACTGCCTCCAACTGTAGAGGAAGAGCACAGACATCGTGGATGGTAGTCATCAATAGTCCAATCCTCTTTTAAAGCCACCCTAGTTGGTGGCCATCACGGCCTCCTGTGGGAGGGAGTTCCACAGTTCATATCTGTGCTGCATGAAGAAGGACTTTCTTTAAAATACTCAGCTTCATTGGATGCCCAGCTTCACTGAATGTTCTTCAGGCAGTACAGAGTTAAACAATGTAAGGTAGATGATAGCTAGATAGGTAGGCAGGGAAATAGATAGCTAGTCTCATCTACCTAGTCTCATCTAAAAGGGGTAATAAATGGGCTAGAATTAAACTAACTTCAGTTAAGCTTGAGCAGAGTCTATGTGACTTTCAAAAAGATGGGGGCGGGGGCGGGGAAAGGTTTGAGGAAACCTGAAAGTGCTGTTGAGGCTGACTGGCAACTGCAGATCTGGCTGCTGTCTCTATGCAGTCAAGTCTCTCCCAGGATATTACTCTGAGCAAAACAGGTGCACGGCATTAAGAGGTCATTTCCTGTGTAGGCAGCAGCTTTGCAAAAATGGATTTACCATCAGGGTTTCTTCTCCTCCCCCTATCTCACAAAAATGAATAAAAGGGCAGATTTGTGGTGTGTGTGTGTAAGACACATGAATAGAGCCTCCCTCCAGCCAGTCTTTCAAAAGTTTGCATAAGATGCATAGTTTGCATAAGATGAAACACTACGAACACTGCGCAATGGCTCCATTCATAGACTCACTGAATTGTAGAGCTGGAAGGGACACAAAGGGTGACCAAGTCCAATCCCCTGCCCTGCAGGAAAAGAAGTTCAGAAGCACACACAGCCAAGAATGAATATTATTCAGCAATGTGAAAAAGGAACACAAGATGTTAGCAGAAAAATCAGAAAGCTTACCCCCCCCAAACACACACCCCACAACAAACCTAAAAATGTGTATTTAATTGCCAATTGCATCTAGGCGATCAGCAAGCTCCCCTAAAGTGGAGAGTTTCATTTGAAACACATGCAAAAGGCCAGCCCCACTCTGATCAATGCCTGGAGCTGGGGAAAGGATTCCTTCTTTTATTTTATTTATTTTATTGCCCTGCCCTGCACTGCATTTATATCCCAACTCCCTACTCCCCACCCCCACCCCAGATCAGTGCCTTGTTTAATCCCTAAAATAGGAACCCTTTGAGGTAGGTTAGGCTGAGAGGCACCGATTGGCCTTTTCTGATTGGCCAGTGAGCTTCATGGCTGAGAGGGGATAACCTGAACCCTTCTATTCCAGCTTAATCACTGAGATCATCCACAAGAATGTCATTGGTCATTCTTTGAATTGGGAAGACTCATTTGACAACGCCTTCTGTTTCATCCTGCTGAAAACTTTTCTATTCTGCCAAGGTCTACGCCGGCAATTAAGAAGATGTCCTTCCACAATGGTTTGCTGTTGCTTGTTTTTAACCGTTTTGCTTTTAAATTGCTTTTAACTTTTTATGCTTTTATTTTATGGTTTTATCTTTTTGATGTTGTAAACTGCTTTCATTTATTCTTATGATTTAGAAGTATGTATAAATATGTTTTATAAACAAATTAAATAAATAACTCCTCCAATGGGGACTAAGGAGTGACATCTTTACCTTGTTATTATATCTGAAGGCTATTACAATAGGTGAAATCCATTCTAATGAAATGGCAAGGTGATGTAGAAATATGGAAAACTGATTTTTTAGGATTGGAGGAATAAGAACCCTTGGCAGATCCACCTATTCTGGGATGGAGAGTTGCAAATCACCATTTCTCTAGAAAATGTTATGATTTCCCCCCTGTCTCCCCCTAGCAAAAAGTTTCCTAAAATGCTTCCCGCCTTTGCACTCTGGATCAACTTAAATCACATGGCAGGCCCAGGTAAATATAAGTTGATTATCTACAATTAGCATGTGCCAGTGAGTTAATTAGATGGTCCCTCCTAAGCTGATAAACGTCTAGATGGGCATGACATTTGCCCAGGGAACGGCTATCAATAGATGCTATTTACAGGGCATTTCAGGACAAATTCATTAGATCGTGGAATGCAGTGCTGTGAAACGGAACAATCAAACTGTAGAGTTGAAGGGGAAACCTGAGGGTCATCTGGTCCAACTCTCTGTAATGCAGGAATCACAGGAAAATGATCCCTGACAGATGACCATCTGACCTCTGCTTAAAATCTTGCAATGAAGCATAGAATTATAGAACTGCAGAGTTGGAAGAGACCCCAAGAGTCATCTAGTCCAACCCCCTGCAATGCAGGAATCATACTTCAAGAATCCCTGACAGATGACCATTCAACCACTGGGGGGGGTGTGTGTGTGTGTGTGTGTGTGTGTGTGTTTGCAGGGGGACAGATGGCCTCATAGTCTAGGGGTAAGATGGAAGCGGGGGGGGGGGGCAGGGGGCAAAGACACCAAGACCAGAGCCAAGTCAGCCAGTGAAATTCAAATGTTTGGCTGCAGGTCATTAGCCTGGCTTGGCCGTGAGCAGAGGTCTTGGGCCCTGAGGCTAGGCAGTCATTCACCAGGGACAGCCTGAAGAGCAGCAATCTCAGCTGCTCCTATCTCACTTCCTATTCAATTCAGGGGTGCTTAACTGCCCCCAAAGTGTAATAGCTAGGGGCTAAGTGTAGCCATTTAAAAGAAATTTGCAGCCTGTGTGTGTGTGTGTGTGTGTGTGTGTGTGTGTAGAGAAAGGACCACTTTGGAAGTGGCTGTCGACAAGTTAAAGCACCTTCATAAATCACTCATAATATACTACAGAGATACAGGCTGTGCAGGGCTCTTTAATAAGCTACTCGCGATGGAACGGATGGCCCTTGAATAAATCAAGGAAACTCATTTTGTGGGCTTGTTCGTATCTCCAGATCAATCCCCGCTGAAAATAACATACCTGGTACAGGGGCGATAAAATGACCATAATTGAAAAAACACACACACGGGTTGCACAGTCTTGGAGAAGGCAGTGATTAAACCTTCCGTCCAACAGTAATACGGTGAAGAGGGCTACGTGCATCTGTAAGGAATCGAAGCATTGACTCGTGGAACTCCGGAATCAGGAGGGGACATGAAGGGTTATCCAGCCCAACTCCCTGCAATGCAGGAATCACAGCAATTCAGAGGAGATTTAGCCTACGAGGAGATAATTTGTTTATCAAACAGCAATTTTCCATTTGGGGGCAGGCGAGGGAATAATAAAGAACAAAGCAAAGATAGTCCCACTCCCCAGTATCTTATACTGTGTTGTTATTATTGTTATTTTAGAAAGCTTTAAAGCAAACGTCAGCTGGTAAATCCCGCCAAATTGTGCCAAGTCCCATTAGGCGTTGCACCTGGTAGAGCTCAGGCGTGCCAGCTCCCAAAGCTATCCATTCTTGTCGGAGCCAGAGATTAGAAGAGGGACGTAGGCTTTTGGCTGACGGCATGAAAAATGGTTCAGCAGATAAAGGAAGGCATTAGCCCAAAGGATGCTGTAAAACAGATCCAATGGGGCTCTCCTCCCACTCCACAAGGGCCCATTTTTCCTCCTCAAGCACAGACATCTGGGATATGCCAAAGCACACCTGGTATTCCCTCACTTGGATTATCATGCATTAGGATGGTGATAGTGGCGGTGGCAGCTATTAAGTGGTCCTGCTACCTCCACTGCTCTGACAGCCAGTTGTGGCATAGTGGTTAGAGTGTATGACTAAGACCTGGGGGACCAGGGCTTGAATTTCCCCTCAGCCATGAAGTTCACTGGGTGAAGCTGCGCTGATTGCTGCCTCTCTGCCTAGCTTCCCTCACAGTGTTGTTGTGGGGATTCAATGACTAGGACCTGGGAGGGGGGCTAAGGTTTGAAACCCCCCTTCAGCCATGAAGCTCCCTTGGGACAGTCATCTTCTAATATTTAAAGGGCTGTCCTTTTAGACACAAACTAACAGATTCAAGTTACAGGAAAGAAGATTCTGACTAATCCTCAGGAAGAACTTTCTGACAGTTAAGAGCTGTTCAACAGTAGAACGGATTGCCTGGGGAGGTTCATTGGAAGTTTTTAAGCAAAGGTTGGACGGCCATCTGTCATGGATGATCTGGTTGCGGTTCCTGCACTGCAGGGGGTTGGACTCGATGACATTTGGGGTCCCTTCCAGCTCTATCTTTAAAAGACATCTGAAGGCAGCCCTGTTTAGAGAAGTTTTTAATATTTAATGCTGTATTGCTTTTAACACATGATTGGGAGCCGCCCAGAGTGGCTGGGGAAGCTCAGCCAGATGGGTGGGGTATAAATAAATTATTATTATTATTATTATTATTATTATTATTATTATTATTGATTCCAAGCAGTTCAAGGTGATGTACATGGCTCCCATTCTCCTCATTTAATCCTAACAAACATCCCTGTGAGGTAGGTTAGGCTGAGAGAGGTGGTTACTGGGCCAGGGTCACAACCAGTAAGCTTCATGACTAAGTGGGGATTCAAACCCTGGTCTTTCAGATTTCCTGGTCAGATACTCTAACCACAGCACCACAGCTGCTGTGCAGGCATCTCTCCTGCAATTGTCTCCATCGCAGGCACATCCTTGGATCCTGAGATGGTGAATCTTGTTTGAGGATTTGCTCCATTAGTGTTCATTGATCACAAACCCCATGTATAATTGGGGCTAATCATGGGATTAATTGGGAGGAATTTGCTGCCAACAGTGGGAAGCGATATCGGCACTCTGTGTTACTTACTGCTCCATTTGGCACAAAAGGCTTAATCAGATTACCAATTAAAAGCTAGTTCTTATAGAGTGACCCCTGGAGTCTCCCTGGAGTCAGAGCAGAAGTGCGATGCATCCTGTGCCTTGCAACCTATTTTTTTTCTTTAGAAAAGTTTATTGTTATTGTTATCACATTTCATAATGTACATAGAACAGAGAGAATAGTTATAGCAACAGATGGAAATTAAAAGAGGGAAAACAAAATGATAAAATAGGTTAGCAGAATGAGTCCAGTTGAACAGGGGTTAAAATAGTGAAGCCCAAGTAAAGAGCCACAGTATTGTGGAGTTGGAAGCGAACCAAAGTCTAATGTATTCCAACCCCCAGCTAAAGAATAATAGAATAGTAGGGTTGGAAGGGACCTAAAGGGTCTTCTAGTCCAACCCCCTGCAATGCAAGGATATCAGCACTATCTGATTATCAAGTCTGTTTCTCGATTTGCCAGGCTTGTGATGAGTGTTGTCTTGAAAATGTTGGTTCCAGAGTATATGTGATAAAGGAATGACAAATCATACAAGAAGTGTCTGGCCGTTCAAGTCATTGTCAAAATCTATTGAGTTGCAATAACTCTTCAAGCTGCCAAGATCATATATAAAACCAGTACTTGGGATAATTTATCTAAAAAAAGGTAAGGTAAAGGATCCCATCAATTTTGACTTTAATTAATTTTTATAATGTTTTTATAATGTTGCACTATTTTAGTGTTGTTAGCCGCCCTGAGCCCGGCTTCGGCTGGGGAGGGCGGGATATAATTATTATTATTATTATTATTATTATTATTATTATTATTATTATTATTATGATTGTTAAATCCAGTCAAAGGTAACTATGAGGTTGCGGCACTCATCTTGCTTTCAGGCCAAGGGAGCCAGCGTTTGTCCACAGACAGCTTTCCGGGTCATGTGGCCAGCAGGACTAAACTGCTTCTGGTGCAACAGAACACTGTGACAGAAGCCAGAGCGCATGAAAATGCCATTTATTTTCCTGCCACAGTGGTACCTATTTATCTACTTCCACTGGCATGCTTTCGAACTGCTAGTTTGGCAGGAGCTGGGGCAGAGCAATGGGAGCTCACCCCATCTCGCAGATTTGAACTGCCGACCTTCCGATCGGCAAGCCCAAGAGGCTCAGTGGTTTAGACCGCAGTGCTACCGGCATCCCTGGCAATTTATCTATATTGGTTCCATAAAAAATATTTGGTAAGCTTAATTTTGGACAACAAACCGTTAAAATAATCCCAGTAGGATTGCTCCATTAGGCAAGTTTTATGGCCTGTTAGCCCCTGTCTAGGCCTCTGGACAATTCGCATCCCCCCCCCCATGGAACCTTTTACCTGGATACCCTAAACTTTTGTTCCAGTTTATACTAAGAATCCAACCCAATCCCTTTTCCGCTAATAGTTGTGGCACCCCACCCCAGACAGCCCCAATTTTTCTTCAGGCAAATTCCTCCCTGGCCACTAATATGGCACCTAGAATCATAGAATCATAGAGTTGGAAGAGACCACAAGGGCCATCGAGTCCAACCCCCTGCCAAGCAGGAAACACCATCAATGTTTAATGATGTTTAATGAATTAATTTAACCTGATTAATTCCACAGCAAGGTTGCACACAAACACTGTCCATTTACCCTCTGGCAGTGCCAAGATATTCAGGATGGGCAAGTGGAATGATCTTTGCCAGCTGCACTGCCCACTCACAGCACAGCTGGAATATATGGTATGGAAGTGGACCTGAGTGGAGGCAGGCTCCCTCGGGTCCCTCTCCAAGCTGTGCCCCTTACTTCAGCCATGATTGGCCGATATAAGTTTTCAAGTTTGGGCAGGAAGTCCCAGAAGCCCCCGTGACCAGCAGAAGCTGAAGACACCACCAGCAGTCACATGGGAGAGGATCTCTGGGCCCCTAGCTCCCCTGTGGCCATGCTGGGACATAATTGCACTGCTGACAAGTAGTCTCCTCCTCCCCTTCCTCTTTTTCTATTATTAGTATGTGTGATGGGATGATGAGCTGCTTGTGCGTAAAATCGTATCCCCTCAGAGTTTGTTCAAGTCCACAAACCTCTGTCTGTGACGGAGCCCCTCAGACATGGCTACTCTAGTCACTAGCAGATTCCGACAGTGGTTGCTTCGTAATCGCTTCCAACATAAAAGCTCCTTAACGGAAACACGTCTTCTGGAATCTCTGCGTGACAGTTTCCGGCGAGGAGTGGGTGTTCTTACAGGAGGTCCTGAAACTTCCCCACTGTTTTCGCTGGAAGTGTCTCTGAGCCATCCCTCCAGCTCAGCTCCTCTCCCCTGCTGGTTCCCTCTTCAGCTGCTGCGTCTCTCCCAACCTGTGTGAGCCCTTTCACCTCCCTGTTGGTTCCCTCTTCAGCTGCTGCGTCTCTCCCAACCTGTGTGAGCCCTTTCACCTCCCTTCCGTCCGATGGCAGTTCCCTGACATCCACCTCCCCTCCAGGGCCCCCTTCACCCCCTCTCGCCCTCCTCTACGGGCGGTGAGGAGGCAAAACCCCGGAATGAACTTCCTTCATCTTCCGATGTCTCGAACACTTCTCTCAACCTGTTGCGGTTCCTGGTCTCGAAGTACACCTCCTCCTCAGAGTCCATCTCCCCTCCCCTTCCGAGTCCGGGAATCCTTCCAACTCCTCCCCTTCATCAGTGGTCCCAAAGTATTCCCTCCGGAACCTCTCCACAGGCTGAGGTTTCCTTGGGAACCTTTGATGGAACGTTTCTATCAATACCTCGTCATTGATATCTTCAGCCATTACCCAAGTGTTTTCTGACTCCGGTTCTCCTTCCCACGCTACCAAATACTCCACCTGATCCCCCTTCCACCTGGCGTCGAGGATTTCTGCCACATGGCTGCTGCATTCTCTTTCTTCTACGACCGGTCCCCGAGGGGCCAGCCCTTCTCGTCCCCTTCGTACGGTGACAGTAACGACCTGTGAAATACTGGGTGCAGTTTCATGTGGTTGGGTAACCGGAGCCTGAAAGCCACTGGGTTGACCTGTTGAATGACCTCAAAGGGACCCAACCTCCTGGGTCTTAATTTCTTACAACCTCCTTTGAACGGCAACCCTTGGGTTGACAGCCACACCCTATCTCCCACCCTTATGGTTTCACCTTCCCTTCGGTTCTTGTCTGCCTGCCTCTTGTATTCTTCCTTCGCCCTTTCTAAGTTGAGTTGGAGCTGACGATGGATTGCTTCCATTTCTTCCACAAAATGCTCGGCTGCCGGGACGCTCCATCTCTCCCCTCTCCCCTGGGAAAGCCCTGGGATGACACCCATAATTAGCCAAGAAGGGGCTCATCCCTGTGGACACATTCTCGGCATTGTTGTAGGCAAATTCCGCCAGCGCCAACTTTTCTACCCAGTCATTCTCTCTGTCATTGACATAACACCTCAGGTATTGCTGGAGGACACCGTTTGCTCTTTC